CTGATTTATAGCGATGACGGCGCTAGCCTGACTCAACGTGATGCAAAGGGCTGTCCAGACGGTGACGGCCGGGACTCCAGAAGAGAAAGGGGGGAGGACGTCGTGATGGAGCCATGAGTTGATGGACTTTGCGAGTTCTTGATGGTGGTGGAGAAGCAAAAGAAGGGGTGTTTCTGTCTGGCAGCACCATCAGGTATGACATCGAAAACTGGGTTTGGGGAAAGGGGGGGAAATCGATTTGCGACATCCAAATAACATCATCTGGGTGGCTGAGCATCAACTCGAGTCCGCTGACAACACCTTGACGTTACCACCGCAACGCCCATGCTGACTGCCTCGAATAGAGTGCATCCAGCTTTCATACTGACTTTTGGACGGCGATGTTTGACAGCGCAGGTGTAGGTGCCCAGAACCTGGATCGGATCTCAGGGTCCTTGGGATAACACCTACACTACAATAACGGCAGAAACCCTTAAAGTCTGGCCGTCGAGTAGATTGTGGCTAAACGATGCTCGGGCTTCCAGAAGCCCAACGGAAGCCGGCAATGATAAGGGTAAAGTAGGGTGCACTGATTGGAGTAAATGCGATTTGTAATTGGGACTTCCAGAGCAGTGGAACTCCAACGACAGGCATTGTGCAACGAAACCAGGGCCCAGAAGTGCATGGAAAGGTGCTTGGGAATACAGGATAGGTAGAAGGGCTTGGGTGAGTGATATTCTCCATGCGTCCAACTTCTTTTGTACAGGAAAGCCGCACACTTACCTGGACGACATCATGGCCTGGGTTGCCCTCTTGAGCAGGTCGAAACCTCCGGCGCCGTGACCGTGACCGTGACCGTGACCGTGACCGTGACCGTGGCCGTGACCGTGAGAACCGGCGGAGTGGCTAGCGGGCGCGGTCTGTCCGGCAGCACTTTCGGCGGGGCCTGACATGTTGCCTCTTGCTCCACGAGTAGCGAGCACTCAAAACGCCAGTTGCCAGGCTGGATGTGATGCGAATATGATATACAGGCCGCCTCGGACCGGGTCGTTGTCGATGGCTGCTATGTTGCTTTTCCTGGAGTACTGCCCGTGCGCGATCACAGTATCGTGTCGCTCGCGGGGCTCTCGTCCCGATCGTCGGTCGCGTCTGTGTTGGGAGATCGGCGCTGTCACGGCCGCTGCAGATGTTGCGGTCGCCGGGTATGTACACGGTATCTGACGTCGTCGCTTCGTGCAGGTGTTTGTAGAGTACCGATATGCCCCCGGGCGCGGGAGAGCTAAGTTATAAACGACTTCAGAGAAGGCGGCGGATAGTAATGTGCTGTCTGTCAGACTCCGATGGTTGCGGTGGCAGCTAAAAAGGTCGCGGGGTAAGACGGGAGTCTAAAGCGTAGCGGGAGAGGGGCCTTCCATTCTGGGTGGGAGCAGCCCAGCATTAAGAATTCCACTTGCCGGTGCTAGTCGAAGGTGAAGGCGGGCACCGACCACGAAACCCGAACCGACGGCAACCTGAACGGGCTGCCCTGTATGAATGGAGGCTTCCACTTGTGCCCAAAAAGCACTGCTGCACACCTAAAGAGGCTCCGCCCCGCGCTTCCTTATACAGATATGCTCGCCGTGCGCGCTGTCTCTTCTGTTTCGCCCTTGTCGTAACGAGTGAAAGGCGTTACTCACCCGAAGAGACAGTGCCAGAACTCGAGAAACCCACTCGGGCAGGCTGTCAAGAAGTGGGGCAGAAAATGACCTCCTAGCGGGCGGAGACGGGACCGACCCTCGTTTTCGGGGTCAAGCCAACGTCGTCCAGTCAAAAGCGCGAGACAGGACGCTATGTATGTACACATCAGCCCTGGTAAGTTCGTTAGCGTGGTACTTACGAGGGTCGTAAGCAGGGGACCTATAAATGCCTTGTAACTTTACCAACTATAGAAGATAGGAGGGAGGCCTTGGGTGGTGGGTGCCCGATTATACTGGTTGAGAGGTTTGTGTTCGGGTGTTTAGATTTCTTCGGCTAACTCTTTCTCTCCTTGAACGTAGGTTAGTTTCGGCCAATCAAATCGCGTAAATAGTCGTGTCCGGCCTTGCAACCACCCTGTTACCCCCCTACAAGAAGATGTGGGGCATGTAGGAGGCTAACAAACTTTTAAGGACTGATGTGTAGAAAGGTGAAAGGGCAGGTCCGACCCAACGTGTAGAACTGCTCGCCGAGCGAGTCCGGGTGTTGGCCTGGACCAGAGGCAGCGGGGTTCAAAACTCTCAGTCGACGAAGGCTTGTGACAGCCGCCCAACAACACCTGTTTCAGTCTGGTACTTGTCCTCTCCTAACTCGTTGCTCAGTCCCGTTGTTCCGCGCTGCGTTTCAATCTATCACCACGGTCTGCAGGTTCTTCTTCCTCCTCTGTCCACATCTTGCTTCGGTGGTTGGCAACTGAAGCACCGAAGAGGGAAAGATACTCCGTGTGGTCAACTCCGCGCAGGGTTAGGCAATGCGCTTGTGGAGTTTTCACCGACCACACATCCACACGCATCACTCCAACCTCAAATTTGGCAGAATCTGCATCTGCTGCGCTGGATTGGGACGAAGACAACTTGATCGGCCTCCGGGGTCAATGTGGTGAGAGATGCGATGTAGTTGTACATACCTCACGCACGTAGAAGTGCTCTGATAGGTAGAATGGCAAATTCGACACTGCACTGTGTACAAATCATAGGACCTACTTAGTACCAGCATGCAGTGGAAGCCCTGCAAATGGCATAGGATGGACAAAAGGGATTACATAGTATACACAGTACAGTGTTGATGTTCCTTGGGAGGATAGGAACCAGGATGCAATGATAAAATCAGTGACCGGATCATGAACGTATCAGAGGCGGCCTCAAAACATTCGTTGGTTATTGACAGGGGAAATTAAACATGTTGGCCGCCGGACACGTATAAAAAAAAAGGATTGTCGATTCTGCCCCCCTTGCATGTCCCAGTTGAAGTTGTAAGGGTTTGAGATACGTACCACAGATCGAGAGGCAAGCTGCAAGGGGGCACGTCATAAAGAGGAAGATGGCGGGTTTGAAATTATTCCCTACCGCCGCGTTAGCATCACCGCTTCTATGACCGCTTTGGGGGCTTGAAGACAACGTAACTTCTAGAAATACCGCCTTTCAACCCAACATCATGAGAACCAATGAACAAAGTTCGCAACTTGCACTCCTCTGATTACAACCTAGTTCCACCGCCTCGATTCATATTCGGCACGTTCGGGTGTCTCTGACCCTCGCGGATGACGGCAGATGAGACACAAGTCAAGAGGCATCGCAGTCATCACGCGCTGGTCCTGCCACGAGCTCAGTGAAGCATGGACTTTATCTAGGCGCCGTCTAGTCTGATAACAGCGAAATTCTTATCGACTAGGTAACTTGTGATCTCCCCGAGGAACAACCGTCAAAAGAAAAAAAAAAAAAAAAAAAAAAAAAAAAAAAACGACAGTACTGTTACCTAGATTCTGGAAAGCGGTGTTGCGTCAAGACGAATGTCAAAAAGGTCTTCAAGGTACTTAACCGTCTCAGCTGAGGCGCTACAATAGTATATGTGAGTGGTTGATAAAGGATGCTATACGGCATGACGTTCGTGTCTGCTATTTATGCTTCAAGCATCCAGTTTCTCGCTTATACTTACCCCTCAATAAGTCTAATTGTACTTGGGGGAAGCGCAGAAGTGAAGACATGGCGCTTGTCGGGACAGATCTTGGATCTAGTCTCCAGGCCCTGACCATGTGGACAGACATGCCCTCAAACTCAGCGTGTCTTCCTTCTACCTCCCCAGTGTCGTACTTCCGCGGAGAGAGTTCTCCTACCTATGCTACAAGCATGCTTGCTGAGTTCAGATAAGTCAGCTGTCGACCGCGTTCAGACTACACCTACCTACCTGTCAGGGTATCAGGTAATGGACGGATATATAATAGAAAAAAAGATTCAGGCAACACCTCACTCAGTTGATGACACGTAAGTAGGGAAATCTACTCGAAATTCCTTCTCCCCCATTGTCATGAAGCGTCGTAACATGCTGCTTGGCCAACCCCGACATGACATAACCGCAAGCTCTGACGGTCAAATATTAAGTTCCTCTCTAGCGTGGATTCAATAACGCGATGAATTGAAGATCGTTTCTGAGAACCGAAGCCGGATCGAAGCCTCCATCCAACCACTTTGCTAGGTGGCATAGGAGCAGGCACTCCATCGACCCAACCGGCTCCTGCATCGACCCTTAAGAGGTAGTCTATAGTGTCATTGTATCAAACTTCAAGTTGCATTGCTTTATCAAACCGCCCCTCGCGAGGCAAATAATTATACATGTACCTACCTCGACGTAAAACCCCGATCTTGGTGTGATAAGCAGTCAGTTCTAGTGATTTCTTTTGCTCAATTCTTTTGGGATTAGTAAACCATCTTCACCATTCCTGATACACGTACTACTTGCCTTGATTTGCGATTTATAGCTTGCCTCTTGCATCTTCTGATTTGCGATGTTATATAAGATTCTACAGAGTTGTTAGTATGTAGGTGGGTCAGATGAACCACGGAAATTGGATAGATGCATACATACTCCCCTATCCTTTTTCCTTCTATAAGCCAGTTCGTCACTCGGCTGTCTGCGCAGTTCATTTCTTCCAAGGGTCACCTCCAGATAATGAGTGGTCAGAAGGAATGATCAGGATTCAAGAAGCGGTTAGCTGCGCATTCGGACAGGATGCTCCCGCATCGCATTAACAATTTATCACTTGCATGTGATATTTGTGTCCCATGAATTTGGGAGGATAAGACAACTTTATGACTAGAGGTAGGTGTGACCATGTTCGATCTCTCATCTACCTGGGGGTAGCTATGTTCTAGACCTGAAGGGCAGAAGTTATACATGTGCTTGCGAAGACATGCGGCTCTTTATGCCTAGATGTACTTGATCTTGGATGTGTATATAATACTCTTTAACCTCGATGGATCTGAGTGCCTATGCGAATTCTCCTGCTAGGTGTTTCCAAAACATAAACAGAGTAATCCTTTTCCATTTCTCAGTGCTCCTGTGATACCTAAGTAGGCATGTATCACCTAAAATCACCACCAAGGCTACCTTTAATCCTGGTTATTAACTCCTTCAGACGCTTCTCTACTGCAGGTGTGTTATGTCCCGGGTATTGCCTATGATGGGGAGGACAAGGCATAAGAGGGTCTCTGAAGTTGGCTGTTGTTGGAAGGGAAGCATCAAAATGTGTTAGAATCTATGCTAGTAGAAATCATCATGGAAACGTGTTCGTGCGTTGGACACCAGAAGAACGACCACCTGCCGTAAACCGGATTTTGACCAGGAGATAAATGTATGTGGGAACAGTGATGGTAGGAAGAGATGGTGGTAGTGGGTTGACTGGTTGGATCATTGGGCCTGGAAAAAAGAGCAGATTGAACAGTTCTACTTACTTGAGCTGAATCTCTGATCACTTAATCTTATCTTGAGCATATCATAGTCGTCCCTGAACTTTTTGGTATTCCATGTAACTGCAGCGCTGCTGTTACCATTGCCGATGCTATTGTTGGCGGGAATGGTAGCCGCAGCCGAATCGGGCATCAACTCGTCTGAGTTCATCTTCGAAGCTTATGGTTATTAAACTAGAAGTTTTTCCAAAGGATAACAAACTTGAGGTCTTGGGTGACTTTACGAAGAATGAGTCTTATGGAGAGGGCTTGATGAGAATGGTCGTTGCGGAGACAGGAATGTCCATTGCATCTGCTCAAGGTCGAGGTCGTTGCAGGAAGGTATATACAAGGATAAGGCAAGTGGGGACAAACCTGTAACAGAAGAGAACAAAGGCCACCACCCCCATCAAACTTGCCCTGCGGTAACTGTCAACTTTACATGCTGCAGGGAAAAATACGATTCGACACATAGCCTCTATTGAGAATTGAGCAGTTTATTGTTGTGTATTGAGATTAGAAAACCGTTTAGCCATAGACGTGAACGCAGGATGCTGCTCAAGAATCGTGCACTATGGTCACCAAGTCAATTATCTAGATGTTAATCTGGGAATGTGGCATCTCCAGCTTGTCAACGACGTGAGGTCAAGGTGTTGAGGTTCGTGCACAAGTGTTGGTGATCTTAGTCTGAAAGCCCCACTTTCTGGTACCCTGTCTCCCTGTTCAAGTTGCCTGTGGTGGGTGCAATTGCTGCATTAAGCTGCGAACTGCGCAAGCACCGACCACATCCCTGAAGCTGTTTTAACTTGTCTTTGTCCCCGAACAAAACTTTATCCATCAACTCGATTATGGGTGTTGCTGGTTTTGACATTCAATCCATTGCTGTTCGTATATTTTTACATGGATCATCAATCTCGACCCTGAGGTACACATCCTTTGCACATTATCCACCTACTTCGTACTACTCGGTACAGCGCCTCCCACGATGAGGAAGAACGACAGTGTCCCTGACGCCTGGGATGATGATTGGGAATCTTTGGCGGATCGTGCGGCTAAAGAAGCACCATCGCCTGAACCAGAGAAGGAAGTTAAAATGACGAAAGCAGAAAGATTAGCTATGCACGTCGAGGCACAGCGGAAGCTATGGGAAGCAGCGTAGGACACCCCTCCATTAATATTCCGTCTCCCTACGGACAACGGGCCTTGTTAACTCGCTGCTCAGGGAATCGGAAAAGGAGATCAATTTTCTCGCGGCAACCAGCTCGGTGCCTTTGACTACACCTTTCAAGCCAGCCATGAAGGTTCTCAGCCGCAGACCGGTAATCGCGAAAAGAGATCCGGTAACTGGACTAGAGCGATTAACTCTACAGGACGACGAAGACGATGACGAGAGTAAGAACAAGAAGCAAGAGACACCAGAAGAAATTCGGATGCGCCAACAACGAGAACTGGAGGAGAAGCAACGGCGATACGATGAGGCACGGGCGAAGATCTTTGGAGAATCCAGTCCTTCCTCTGGTTTGTCAACACCCGGAAGCGTTACGCCGCCAAAAGAAACCGACAGGACCGACAGGGCCCGCAGCGACAGACCAAACCACAGACGGGGAAGAGGACGTGGAGGTATGCATCGTACCGACAGCCGGCCGGAAAGCCAGACTCGCCGCCTACCGCTCAAAATGCAATCAACTCCCAGAGAGCTGTTCGACCCAAACTATTCGACGAAGCCAGGCTCAACCAGCCAGAGGCGGTCGGGAGAGGACTCTCCGAACGTTAGCAAATCAAATTCTCGACGAGATGAAGATCAAGCTATTCGAGCACCGAGAGGTCCAGATAGCAGTGGAAGAGGAGGATTTGGACTCGCTCGCCGTGGAGGCTAAGCTGGATGACGTCTATTATTCATATTGACGGTCCCCCGATAGGTCTCTGACTGGTGTGCGGCGCTCTACCATCCTCCGCCAATCTTCCCCGCAAGCTGGACGACTCTCTCAGTATCAGTCATCTTCTTCTCCTTGCCAACGTCACTGACAACCTCCCGATAGCTTGTGTACGCCAATTTTTCCAGCTGTATCCCCGTCAATGTTGACCAGTGGGTCAAGACATTTCGGATATGCGAAGGGGAAATGCCATCAACAACCAGATCCAAACTCTCATCCTGGGCTCTTGAGCCTTGCTCGTCTCCCGAGAAGTACGCTTCATCGACTTCTTTCTGCCACTCCTTCTGCTCCTGGGGTCCTGGTTTTACAGCGAGACCCTTCCGATCAACTACCGCTTGGTCATCTACCTTGATCTGGCCCCCTCCATTGGTACAGCCGCCTGGGCAAGCCATTACCTCAACATAGCCATAGTCTAAACCGCTGGCTTTGCCTGCCGGTCTCTTGGCGCTACCAAACGGCTTTCCGCCAGGCATTCGGGATGCCTTTGCGGGTTTCAGCTTACGGACCAAGTTCTGAATATTTCGGAACCCATAATACCGCGCTGCCTTGAACATAACCTCGCCCGCTTCCGCGATCAACTTGTATTCGACAACGTCGGCGTTCCTCCCTGGTACTGTCTGTATCTGTGAGCCCGGATTCTTCGCTTGCAAGTGGCGAAGGATGAAGTGCATGTTACCGCCGGATGTGCCAGCTTCACGTGACTGTTGACGGTGACCAGGTCGAAATAGAAAGTCGTGTATTAATTGGTCAGGAAATCGGGGGGTTTGGGGCGACATCGAGGCCGACAGACTGAAAAAGTCAAAGCCTCTGGATGCGGCAAGCATGAGAACCTCCTTGCTTGTAATAACACAGTCGACGTCCCGTACTCCTCTGCCCGGCTTGCCATCCCCAGCCCATATAGCATCTGTCAACTCTTCACGACTAGCCTCGAGCTTCTTGTCGAAACATGGCATCACAGCCAAATGCCATATCCTCTCGGGGGCGATATCAAGGATTCGACTGAGGGATGTTTTCAAAAGGGTGCCCATGAGGGCCTGGGGTGATTTTACTCGGGAAAGATGCGGTAGTACGTAGGGGTGTGTCTTTTCCGCATAGCATACCCAACCAGGGCACGAAGCAGTAAGAACTGGTGTAGCAGCTTTGTCGGACGGCGCTATCAAGCCTCCAAGGACTTCGTCAGACCCAAGGACAAGAGTTGCCTCCCGCGCCGTGTTTGTGTCCACCACCCACGTGAACTTGTTCCCCCATTTTCCACCTCTTGCTAGACCCTGTTCACCCAAGAAGAGCTGTTCGATCATCCGACCAGCTTGCTGTTCTGTAACGCCGTTGCCGCATGCTGCAGCCAGACTGGCTCTACTCTGAGGAGACACACTGGCAACGTATAGCTTCGCGGCGCTGTTTTCCAGGCCTTCAACCGAGTACTTTCCGTTCGCATCAGGTCCTACCAGCTTCAAAGCCGGGGCGGAGTCCAGCATGTTGAGAACCTCGTTGTGACTTTGTAGACTGACTAGTACCGCCTCGGCAGACGTTACGCAGCCAGAGCAGGCGAGACAGTCGGTAAGCGAGATCTCAGCCGGCGGAGCATTGCTCTTGGCTTCTGGTTGCTGGCCGTCAAGTATAACCTCCGCTTCGAGTGAGGAGTTGACGTCGCTTGCAGGCGGCGCGGCGGTCGGCAAAGTCTCGATGGGCTTGATGCAGGCTACGCCCGGGCTGATGAAGTCGTTGAGGTCGTCAACGGAGAGAATCGCGGACATGATTATTCATGGATTAGCAGGCTAAGCGCCTGATGATCGTAAGCGCGAAGGTCAACGGTTGGGTTTCGATAGGATCGGTAGATAATTGTCGAGAAATATCGTTCGTGTTGGTAGAGGTAGTGATTCGGAAGTCAAGTGTGCTGGGTTGCTAAGCCGTGCTCTTACAAATCGATGCAGTCGCAAGTGCCCCACTGAACCCAGAAACCCACGGACGCTTTGCTTAAGGTTTCTTTCTTTCTTTCTGTCTTTGTTTTTACTGTCAAGGACTGCGATCGTCTAAAGGAATGAGCAGGAATCAGATCTGTTCAAGCCTATGCTATAGTTTGTTTCTTTCCGAAGAAGTTTTGCTGCTGATGGCGACAGTCAGAAGCTGCGGTTACTGCTTTGAAATTGACATTTCCTCGAGGCTTGATTGGACTATGCAGGGGGTTAATGCGAGATCGGCTTTTGCTCAGTGGCGGTTTTAGTTTCTGTCACTACATTACTTGCAGTGTCCACTGTCCCGTGCGACGCTTCGGAGTTTCGCCGGACGCCTTCCCCACTCCCCCGTTGGAAAGCCGCTATGTAATCGACTCCAGTCACTCGTCTTTGATGCCTGCATCACAATCTCACGAAGAAATGTTGCATTGGAAAACTGATCAAAGCAGTAAGTTCGGCGCACCCAAAAGAGATCGGCCTATACGGGTAAGTCATTCATCAGGCTGTGGTTAAGTGAATACAATGGTTGGAAGGAAAGCTGGGAATAGTACCTGGAAAGTATCTGGTACTTGGGGGGTTTTTGCGTGGGAAGGTACAATTAAATGCTGGTTTGTTTGTTAGTTTGGTAACTTTGGTTCTTCGGCCATGGGTTAAACAGGGGAGATTTGAAGCTCTTATTAGCCTTCAGAGAGAGAGACTGGCCTCCGTTTGAAGCGTCATGGGACAATAGCCAGGTTTGAGAACGTCACATAAGCCTTCTTGAGCCTCTCTCCGTTTTCTTCCAAGGCTTTTCAAAACCTAAATGATATAAGATAGCAATCCCCTATGGCTTAGGTTGTCTTCGGCATCACAGTAAGCATTTCCGCTAGATCTGCCTGATCTTAGCCGCGCAGGGATCTTCCGGCAGGCGCAAGGTTACTTATCAGCAATCGCAGTCGTTATCGATGACGTAGTACCCTCAATTGATGATCGGCTACCGCAGTGACAGGTACCTACCTTTTCACGTTTTCCATGGTGTGGTACTGGCCGTTCGTGCCTGGGTTACTGGAGCTCCAATTCGTCATTGGGGACGGAAATATTTACTTTATAAGAATGTGACGGTGTCTGCTTGTGAAACTTCTTTCCTTTTGCGTGACCGTATCTTGCCTCAGAACCACGATTCTCCCTTCCATAACAGCAGAACACTGATTTATTCAACTCTCACTTGGACCGAGATCTTTGGACATCCACATTCATCTTCCACTCGATACCGAATCTCTGCATCAGCAACCATGGGAAACGATGTAAGTGATGGGAAAACCTCCAGTAATCCCAGCATTCCCGTGGTATGTTCTGACCGTCTCTACTTGTAGTCCATTTCGACATACGCGTTTGCGAGTCTGGGCTGGCTCTCCCTCCAAGCAGTGCCGCTCATCGTTTGGCCGACCTTCATCAGCTCGATGCTCACAGAGAACGGCGGACATGCTCATGCTCCTGCCGTGGTAAACGTCGTAGAGACATACTTTGCCCGATACCTCGGTTTCTCCCAATTGGCCATCGGCCTCCTCATCGTCACCCTATCCGGTGCTCTACCACTCACCACCAACGTGACCTGTAAGTTTCACCTACCTACTACCTTTCGCTCATTCTAGGCCCTGAAAACACATACTGACACATGTATTCTTTACAGCCCCAAACGACCCCAACTCCCCCTACGCCAACGCTGTCGTCTTCATCTCGATGTTCTACCACACCATCGGCGCCGCCTACGGCTACAGCCGCTACACCAGCAGCGGCGGCCACGTCGGCTACCTGCTCGGCTTCACCGGCAGTGCCATCATGTCCGCATACGCCCTCTGGCTATTTATGTTTGCCGGTGAGCAAGCCAAGGTCAATGCTGCGACTGGTGCCGATAAGAGGACGAGCAACTTCCCCTTCAAGAACGCTGAGGCTGAAAAAAGGTTTGATGGTGATAAGAAGAGGGTCACTCGTAAGGAGATCTAGGCGCTGGATTTGTGCTTTAAGTCCTGCCGCGTGTATGTGTGGGAAAGGGCTTTTTCTCTTTCCATTTTCGGAGAAAAACAAACGGTTCCTTACCTAGTGGTCATTTAGTATTCCCGGAATTTGGTGAGATTTCATGGACTACTGTTTTCGGTTTGAGTTGTATTCATCAACCTTTGACTATGTACTTTATGTCGTTTTGATCACTTGGCGCAGCATTGCGGTTATATAACGTCAAGGGTTTTGGTTCAACAACTACCAAAACATGTGCAGAGTCCTGGCTGATGTTCACATTCATTCCTCGTCGCTTCACGCTCAAGATGCACAGTATACTGCTGTGCTTGAGATGTCCACATGTTACTTCCAGCGAGGAACAAACGTTGGCTACGAGCAGATGCATCCTGCTTTACCAGCGACAAGCAGGCACATTGATTGATACTGTAAAAAGCTGTCGGACCCATAATACCAGTTTACCCACAAGTAATCCATAACCCATAACCATGCTCAATTGTAATCCCGTTACTCCATACACCTCAGATTATTAAATAATGCTCGTCACGGCTTTTTCGAACAAAAAAAACGAAAGAAGAAGTGGATGGATAAAAGGCCAGCAGCCGCTGTAGGATTGCACACTCATCGGCGGAGTGTGACAAGGCGCCAAGCATGCCTTGTTATTCCTTTTTGAAGGCCAAGTCACGGCTTATGCGAGTGTGACAAGGCGTTCCAAAACCCTAGACGCATAAGGGTAACAGACGGTGTGGTTTGAAGCATTTGCCCGGTACGGCGCCTAAGCCCTAGCAGCACCGAACCGGCACCTATTCCTCCACAGTGAGTCTGGCGGCCTCGGCTGTATCGTCCTCACCAGCTGCCCCATTTGCCACAGCTTTTTCCGGCAGCTGAACGTCCGCCATACCTTTTAACACGGCTTGACGGCGTGCGTGCCAGGCCTGTTCGCTGCGTACGACCTGATCGAGGAGGATTTCCTTTTCAAGCCACTCCTGCTTGTACAGCTCTTCCCAGAGTTTGCAGTCCTTGCGCAGCTTCTCGCCTTCCGCTTCTACCAACTTGACTTGTAGTCGACACAGCTTCATCAACCTGTCGAGCGGCATGTCGAGTTCCTTGGTAGTGAAACCGTGGTCTTCAGTCAAGGGTGTGAAATCAGCCCCGTCGTCTCCGCCGCTAGCATCGTCAACTGAGTCGTCTTGTCCGGCCGCATGAGAATCCGGCCTTCGAATGATGATCTTTACCTTGGCTGACTTTCCAGCCGGACCGCCCCCTGCTTGCATACTCTTGGGCACCGGGTCAGAAGGTCGTAGAGCTTCGGTCTCGTGGACTGTCCGCATATGTTTGGCTAGGGCATCGGAACGTGTAAAAGCGCGGTCGCATTCTGGTACGTCACGTAAGTATCAGAAGGCCATCCATCCATCTTCTAACTGCCAAAGGAGGGCGGCTTACCTGGCAAATAACAGTAAAATGGCTTTTCCCTCGTGTGAGATCGCATGTGCGCCTTGAGCGCATAGCCGCTGGCATGCGGTAAGCTCTTCCTACTACACCCGATCCATTCACACGTGTACTTTTTCTGTCGACCTTCGATGTGCGAGTTGTGAATGTGTTCAACGAGCCTATCCATATTTCCCAAATCCCCAACTTTGCAACCTTCCCAAGCACAGACAGTGACTTGCTCCTGGAAGTCATCTTCGTCTTGTCGCGCATTAATTGGGGAACTCGGGATGTCGCCATCGGTATCGGAGGAGACATCAGACATGCCGTCTGGAAAATCTGGGTCTGCCTCGGGCTCTTGGATAACAGCCGATGAGGCTGTCGACCCGGTGGTAACTTTGATACGCTTTGTTGGTGGCTCCTCTGGTTCGTCGACGGCTTCTGGCACCTCGTCCGCGAAAATCTCTTCCTCGTCGGACGACGCCATTGATGACAGCGGCGAGTCATCCGCAGGAGAATGTTCTCGAGTCATTGTAGCTGAATGATTCGTGTATAGAAGATCGGGTTGTTTTGTTCTCTCAATGTGTACGCCCGTTCAAACAAGGCGGATATGTTCAAGAAGGAGAGATGTGGTGATAATGCGCCGTAGTTGCGGACGACAGTTGGCGATGGTGGTGATGGCGTCGCGCCACGAGTCGATGTCGGATGTCGTTTCGTAACGGGGTCCGTGTAAAATTGTTACCGTGTGGCCCTGATCTGCTCGGGGTTTTGTGTGAGCTACCTAGGTTGTTCGAAGTTCGAGTGAAGAGTCGAGCGGGAGGGATTTGAGGTGAACTGTTGAATCGAAGAAGCAGCTGTGTCTACTGTGTATGTACCTAGGTAAGAATTCGGACCTTCCTCATTTTCCCCAGGTTTGTCGACGCGGAGCTGCCCCGTCCACGGCTGGGTAATGGGTCCCCCCGTGCGCCTGCTGGTGCCGTCGGCCGCATCTTTCAGAAGGGCGATGACCGTTATCAGCAAAGTGGAAGCGCAACCTGCGACAGCTGGCGGCCGCCTGAGCTGGCTGGCTTGGAGGTCAGGCCCCATCCCTGCCTGGGCTCCCACCGAGCCCCAGATTTTCGTCCGTTTCAGTGTGGTGTATGGGGGGCAATCGCCTCCCTGCCTCCCTCTGTTTCATGATCTCTCTGGGGCTTCATGACCAGCTCATCTCAAGCAAGTGCGTCATCCCATTCGCTAGCTGCCTAACTGATGCCCCCACTACAGCATAAGACGCCTAGTGTAGTGTAGTGTACAGGCGCGAGAAGCGCCTAGACCCGGCCGCTGTGGCAGTTTTTGTCAACCCCTCCCCCGCTAGAACTCGGGGCTGTTTGAGCGCACTTGCATATCTATCCTGCACTCGTCCACCGCGTCAACGCGATTTCCATCTCCCTCCCGCTTCCACCGTCTTCGCGTCTGCTTTGTGCTACTCGAGTTCTTCCCGAAACTAAGCCCGCTTTTTCTTACACACATCTTATACAATGACCGTCTCTACCAAGGTCTTCTCCCTCGAGGGGAAAGGTCTGAAGCTCGACACCGCCGAGGATCTCGAGGCCCATATTGCCCCCCTCCGGGCCATGGACGATGTCGAGGAAGTCCGCCTTTTGGGAAACACTTTGGGCGTCGGCGCTTGCAAGTTGCTTGGTGAGGTTCTCGCGACCAAGGAGACTCTTCGTGTATGTCTAGCTGTTCTCAAGTGCATATATGCGCCCCGGCGCATTACGAAGAAGGGACGGCGGCTAACCACCTGTTGCCTTTTAGGTTGCCAACTTTGCCGATATTTTCACCGGCCGTCTGCTCAACGAGATCCCCGAGGCCCTTTCCTCGCTCCTCACCTCCATCCTCAACCTCCCCAGGTTGAACACGATAAACCTCAACGACAATGCATTCGGCCTCAATACCCAGGCGCCCCTTGTTGCCTTCCTCGCCGCACACGTCCCTCTCCAGCACTTGTATCTGAACAACAACGGCCTGGGTCCCCATGCCGGTATTTTGATTGCCGACGCTCTGTCCGAACTCCACGCCAAGAAGGAAGAAGCGCGCAAGCAGGGACAGGATGTTCCCTACCTCGAGACCGTCATTTGCGGCCGTAACCGTCTGGAGAACGGCAGTATGACCGCGTGGGCTAAGACTTTCAGACTCCATAACAAAGTTAAGCAGATTAAGATGGTCCAAAACGGTATTCGGCAAGAGGGCATATCCCATCTGCTGAGCGAGGGTCTTAATCACGCTTCTGAGCTCCAGATTCTCGACCTCCAAGACAACACCTTCACCCTCAAGGGAGCTAAGGCTCTTGCAAAGGTGACCCCCGGCTGGACTGAGCTCATCGAACTTGGCATCGGTGACTCTCTCCTTTCTGCCAAGGGCGGTGTTCTTTTGTCGGAGGCGCTTCTGAAGGGAAAGAACAAGAAGCTCGAGATCCTGCGCCTCCAGTACAATGAGATTACTGCCCGTGGCATTAAGGGTCTGGCTCTGGCCGCTGAGGAGGCTCTTCCTGCCTTGAAGAAGATCGAACTCAACGGCAACAAGTTCACCGAGGACGATGAGGCCATCATTGCTTTGCAAGATCTTCTCGAGGAGCGCAAGGAGCGGTTTGGTGGCGATGTTGTCGCCGAGGATGAATGGGGTCTTGACAGCCTGAGCGACCTTGAGGAGGAAGATGAGGAGGAGCAAGAAGAAGAGGAGGAGGAGGAGGAGGAGGAGGAAGTCGAAGAGAGGGCAGAGAAGCTCATCAAGGAAGCCGAGGCGGCTCAGGAAGAGCCAGTTGTTCAGGTTAAGGACAAGGAGGTTGATGAGCTTGCTCAGAAACTGGCCAAGACCGAACTCTAAGCATGTCTTTAACGTGCTTGGACAATTCAACTCAACTGAAACAGTGCGCAACGAAGAACTCTCTTTTCTTCATGGAGACAAACACAGACGATACCCAAGATAAGCGACGACGGGAGTTTGGGGATATGATTATAGATTAGATATTGTCCTGTATCGTGTTGGATGCCCTTTCATTGCGCCGTCATCATTTCTTGGCACGTCCTTGTCTGTAAATCTCAGGGGTTTGACACAGCGACTGGGCCGCTCAACTATAAATTACCTACCCCCTTTGGATGAGGTGGTGTAAACATCACATGTCTGTAACGACTGCATTGACACGGCTTTGTTCCTTACGATAACTGGCAAGAAATGGCATTGGCTTGATTCCTGGGATTTACGGTGGCTCAGTGGTTTTCTGTTTGGTCATGTCACTTTCCAATGACCTGTTGGAATGGGCAGCTCAGCGTGTCACGCCATAAAAGTCACCCCATCTCCTGGCCCATGAGGGGGCTTGTTCCTGTCACCAGATTAAGCATCGACGTCGCCTCGGTGTAGGTTTGGGTCGCAATGTATATATAGATGCTCTACAGGCCGATGGTGTGGGAAGAAAAAAAAAGTCATTCATAACAAGTGGAAGTTTACATCGACTGCTGTTTAACTGGCGTCTATTTTGCCTCATCATCACCTACACACATACGCAAACACATACACACCATTGACAGGGGTGACACACCAGTCCTCATCGTATACAGGAACGGTCACTTAGCCAAATCGCCGCCCATAACACACAATAAGCCATATACACAATAAGCTATATAAATATAAAGACAGCATATGGAGGGCTCCAGGCCATTATTCGAAACCACCGACTCCATTATCGAAGTCCTCTGGGACATCGCCCTCGCCGTCTTCGTCATCCGCGTCTCCTTCTACTATTTCCTCCTCACCTTCCTCACCAGCCTACTCCTCGGCTACATCGCCTACGCTGAACTCATACCCATAACCATCTTCGCTCACTTTCTCTCCTCCTCTGACCCCGACCACAACAACCGCATTCTCTGCTTGACCATCCTCCTAACCATCACCTCAGCAATATGGACTCACCTTGTCCTCCGCCACTTCGAGGTACCCCGCGTCGCCTATTTTAGGTTAGCCATCTGCTCCATGGCGCTGGCATTCATGGTCTCAGCTGAGATGGTGGTGGCTTTTGTGCTGTATGAGGAAGGGTATGGAGGGTGGATGTGGGGGGAGATGAAGAGCGTGGCAGGCGTGGCTTGGGGAGGTTGGATGGTGATGTACGCAGTGATGCCAGTGTTGCTCATGAGGGCGGAGAAGAGGATGGAGGAAAAGATGGATAATAGAACAGGAGGGCTGCGGCTGCGGCTTGGGTATTATGGATGTAAGACGGTGCTGCATAAGTTGTAAGTGGTTACCCCTTTTGATGTTCCTTTGGGTACTGGGTGTTTCGGTTCTTTGTAATAGAAAGGATTGAGGCTGATGAGTCTGTGTCTATCTCTACAGACCGACTATCAACGAGGAAAAGGCGGTGATGTAGTGGGTTGCACTATTGACAAGTAGAGGCTGGGAGGTGTTGGCATGGAGCTTACAGGTATTAGAGGTTGGGTGGTTGATGGACTTTATGAATACTGAGAATCGTTGGAATGATTGGGAAGCGATGAAGCTATCTTATTGTCAATGAAAGGGTCATTATGCAATCCTGCAATGGGCTGGGGATACGCTACGTTGTGTAGATGGGAATCCAACTGCTAACAGAGCAGTGTCTCTCTCACTCAATTGCCGCGCACCTGAAGGGAGCGTTGGGCATGACGTAGAGGGATATTCAGAGCTATCGCCCTGTTCGACCAAATGCTCATGTCGTTGGAATGTTGCACTTTACGCATGATAGCACTGTGTATTACAGTTCCAAATCGGTATCAGGAATTCATACGGAGGGTTTAAGGTCAGGGAATTTTCACCAAGATAGCCTTTTTTTTTTTTCTCTTCGATGACTTTAAAAAGTATGGACGGTACTATAGACCTCTAATATTCCGTTTCATGGTGGAACGTTAAACCCTCCTCACGGGATACACCACTTAAATGCACGTCGACTCGTCTGTTTCTTTATTGCACGCGGTCTTCCGCTTCCTTGACATTTACTCTAGCAAATCGTGTCATGCTCTGAAGGTGACGAGATGGGTCACTGAAAAATCTGCCACTTCTGCCACTTCCAACACCGTCTTGAAAGCATTCTCGCCGGCCCGAAGAATTTTGAGCATGGACACGAGACCAGGGCTGGAAGCACGCGAGTCCACATTCCAATGCCTCGCGGTTGTGTCTTATTTGGCGACGTGATGTATCGCGAAGTCGAGGACATTCATCAGGACTTCTCAATATACTTGACTGTTGTAAATCAGGTCGAGTTGAGCTATAAAACTCCCAGGTAGGAAGCATTATTGATGTGCCCAATGTCGACTTGTGCTACTGTTTGGGGAGATCTTTCCAAGGTTCAATAGCAATCATGTTGTCTTCTATCATAACCTGCGTCATCCCTCTGCTGGTGATATCAACGCCAGCAGCAGCTGCGACTAGCCAGTTCCAGATTCAATCTGCTGGGAACACGACAGTGTCTTCATATCGCAATGCCGTTTACTTCACGAACTGGTAGGTTATCAACGATTAGAAACTTCAGGACGGGCATACTAACTAACCATCACAGGGGTATCTACGGTGCCAACTTCCAGCCTCAACAGCTTCCTGCTTCACAAATAACCCACGTGCTATATTCTTTCGCAGATATCAAACCAGACGGACAGGTGTAGGTCTCACAGTCTTGACGATATAGACTTTGAAAGGGCACTGACACCTAGCAGAGTATCTTCGGACACTTACGCAGACCTTGAGAAACATTATCCTGGCGACTCGTGGAGTGAACCAGGCGAGAATGCCTACGGCTGCGTCAAACAAATGTACCTTCTGAAGAAGAGGAACAGGAATATGAAAGTCCTCCTTTCCATAGGAGGATGGACGTATTCATCCAAATTTCCACCAGTCGCCGCCACTGAGGAAGGACGACGAAGGTTTGCTTCTTCCGCCGTGAAGCTTGTGCAAGGTGAGTGAGCTCCAGGGAACTTCTATCCCGAGGATGAGCACCAAAAAATCTAACCTAACCCTTCAGATTGGGGCTTCGACGGCCTCGATATCGATTGGGAATATCCGACCAATTCACGCGAGGCACAAGACTTTGTCCTCCTTCTCCGGGCCTGCCGACAAGCCCTTGATGACTATGCCCGGCAATACGCCCCTGGCTATCACTTCCTCATCACCATCGCCGCACCCGCCGGACCTCAGCACTACGGCGTCATGGACCTTCCCGGCATGAACCCGTACATTGACTCCTGGCATCTGATGGCGTACGACTACGCCGGCTCGTGGGATTCCACCACGGGCCACCAGGCCAACCTTCTCCCCAATCCCAAGAATCTCCTCACAACCAGATTTAACACCGATCAAGCCGTCCGCGACTTCGTCCGTCGCGGCATCCCAGCCAACAAGATTGTTCTCGGCCTGCCACTATACGGCCGCTCGTTCGAAGACACTGACGGACTGGGTAAGCCGTACAGTGGCATCGGCGCCGGCACGTTGGAGCCAGGGACCTGGGTTTACAGAGACCTTCCGCGCCCCGGAGCGAAGGAGGAGTACGACAACCTGGCCAAGGCCACTTATAGCTACGACGCATCGTCGCGCGAGCTCATCACGTATGACAATGTCCTGAGCGCTCTGGTGAAGACGAAGTACATCTTCCTCAGGGGACTGGGTGGTGCGGTGTTCTGGGAGGCAAGCGGTGACAAGACTGGTGCGAAGAGCTTGATTGGAACGCTGGCGACTCAGATGAAGAGGCTGGATCAGACGAAGAATCTGTTGGCATATCCCGCTAGTAGGTATGCTAATGTTCGGGCTGGTATGCCAGAATCCTGAGGATGTTGTGACGTGAAAGGCTTGGTTGAGACCTGAATCGTGTCGAGCTATGCGCTTGGTTGTTTCATTTGAATGTATTGCTGGGTATCACTTGCTCTTGATTCAACTTGAATTCGAAATATTCTTTACTCAGCTGAATCTGCAGAGTGTTGGAAGATATCTGTTCTCTTCGGTTCTGTTATATAAGCTCTGAGAAATACCGGATTTCCTTTAAGGCATACGCCTGCTAGGTCACTTGTCTTGGATTTTCTTGATATGTGTTCGAAGTTGCCCCTAAAAAAAGGGCACGATTCCCTGATATTGCTGTTGGACAAGGAGAACACTTGTGAGCTGGCAAGCAGGTGGCGACTTGGAATTCGAAAGCTTGTCTAGATTTTGGGAAACTTTGCGATGTGAGCTTCAAAACCTTGAGCGGAAACAATGACAAAAAAGAAACTTGGATGTTTCACACTTTTTCTTTCCGATCGTATCACAGTACGACTATACTGGGTGCTGTAGCATGCTACCCCTTCGCCTCGCTAACATCTATGTCCGTGCTCAGTTAGGTAACAGTCTGGTTTCACCATGACAAGGCTGTTATTACTCTACGTCTCAGAGATTTGGATCTTTACCTTGCCACCAGTGATCCAAGACCTTCACGGAGGCACGAGACTCCCAGAATAGTAGAAAAGACTATGCCAAGGCGGAAGGTTCAAGGTGTGCGCAGAAGCGGGAGGCTTTCCTCCCGGTTCTGGATGGCCGTCAACAACCCCTTGCTCGTCCCAACTTCTCTGCCTTGCCACATGAGGTACCAGGATGTTTGGATCTCAGATCCCACCTGTATCTGACTATCCAAGTTGTTTCTTGTGCTCCCCCTACGCTACGCTGGTGCTCGAGCTATCCTGAGACAGTGACCCCTCTCCGGTGCTTCGATTTTCATGGCATGCCATGTGCATTCTGGAAGGATAGTGCCGGTGATATACGTCGTGGAACAGGCCTAGATTCATATATCCATCTTTTCTGTCCGACTTGTTATGGTTATACGCTCTCTTTCCCATATCCCCCAACTTTGACACTTCAATCCATGCTCTAGTGTCTAATTGCTTTTGTTCGGTCGTCTCTTTCTCTTTTTCATCCGAGTGCTTGCACTCCGTCTTTTCGTTACCACTGGACAGTTTGCTTTGCCGTTCGTTTCATTATACCCCTTTGGTTCTCTTGGAACTTCCCGTTTGGATCAAGTTCGCATCCCGATCACGAGTTGACACGAAGGACAAGCCATAATGCAGTACTCGGCCAGAAACCTCGTGGCCTGTCTCCTGGCCATCTGTATTCACGACACGCTCGCCACGCAACAAGCTATTCCAGTTCAGAGTTCCAGTGTGAACAGCGAAACGACTATTCCCATTGCGACATCTGCTCCCAGTGCCAGTGTTGCTCCCGACACCACAATTCCGGCAGAGATTATAGCCAGCAGCCAGGAAAGCATTCAGTCTTTGAGATCCATCGCTACCCCCGCTGCCTCAGAGGCTGCCGCAGGCGAATTGCGACCTCTTCCAGGCCTTGCTTCGTCGGTATGTTGGACCTGATGCCCCTTCAAGAGAGAATCGCAACTGACTTCTTATAGGCGGTGGATGGGGCAGCTACTCTGGCTAGTACAACCAGTGAGCTTATCCCTCTTGTCTCACAGATTTCAACGACTGCCGAAATATCAGAGGTATCTCCGGTTCAGTCCACTGAAGTGACTTCAGCTGCTATATCAACCGCTGGGTTGTCGAGCCTTGAAGCCTCGAGCACTGCCGTTGCCGAGGACCCAGCTTCCACAAGCTCTGTTGCACTCGAGACAACAACCGAGGACTCAGCTTTCCCAAGCTCTGTTGCACTCGAGACAACAACGACTGAGGCATCTGCGACCGAGACAGCCAGGAACGAAACAGCTGGTGCGGACGCGACATCGACCGCAGCCACCAACGGATTCCTCACCTCAGTTATTGCCGAGTCTTCAGCCAGCGCTAGTTCCGCCACCGCAGAGACCTCCAAAGCTGCGATAACCTCCCGCCCACCCGGCTTCTTCCCCATCACAAACAGCACTACTCCAGGAGCCAGCGTAGTCGGCGGAGGGAAGCCACATGGAACTGGCGCTGCCCTTCAATCGCTGGTCACCGGGATTTCGAAAAGTCCTTCTGGTTCTGGCGGTGTTCATTTCGGCAATTCGACACAGACTTCTGGGTTATCAACTGCAGCTCCAGCCAGCAGAGGCGGTTCAGGTAGCCTTACTACTTTGACCACCGTCTCGGATGGCATGACTCGGACGCTGGTGACAGCTATAACATCACAAACGTCAGGAGTTGCTCAGAATGCGTCGACTACCGCGACTACTCGATCAAACTCAGGAGCCGGGCGGCCCATGGATTTGATGGGTGGTGCTGCTTTGATTGCTGGTGCGGGGAGCGTGCTGGGGATGCTGTTGCTTTGAGCGGGCGATCAGCGTAGGCCCAGGTAGCGTTATGATTTAGTAGCAAATGTAAAAGAAACATTTTCAATCTTTGAATGCTAAGTCTTGAGAAAAGCGCGGCATGTTACATAGCGTACTGACACGCAAAGGCGTAACGTCAAGTTTTCAACTGCTACCAAGAAGTGCAAGTGCCCGGATGCAAGTTGTTGACCACTAGGACCAGATTGAGAGAGGTTCAGAGGTTGCCCCTTTCCTCCTTCCACAGCCGGAGGCGAACGGGCGATGTTCTGGTGAGTGTAGTCTAGGGTTGGTTAGGGTTAGATCAACCACCCTTTGCAATTCCCGAGGCCGGTCATTCTGCCGTCTTGGTCCGCCCAAATTGCAAGCTCGCGATAGCTCGCAGGGCAACGGAACAGAAGTTACCCCTCCCTCATGGTGCCACAAACGCGATAGTATTTACCAGACTTGCGCCTTAGCCCAGCTTTCCTGTCGCTGAAAGACTATTATCAACGCGCAAGTTCTGCGGTTGGTTAGGATCAACATTGGAACCCGACAACAATGGGCTGGTTTGATGGGTGGTTCGGAAGCAGCTCCAGCAGCGACGAGTCAGATCCCCTGGGGAAGCTCGATCCCAAGCTCCGCGAGTTCCTTGCCCGGGAGTCCCCCGTCAAGTACACGACTCAGCAAGAACAGGAACAGCAGCAGCAGCAGCAACAACACCAACAACAAAAACAACAGCAACAGTCACAAGCTAAACAGCATCTCGCCAGCGCTCCAGCGGCGCCCGTACCGACAGCGAAAGTACCAGCGACCGAACAACCACAACAGGAACAACAACAACAACAACCAGCTGTACCACGCGCCTCCCTCTACCAAGATGGCCGCTACGCGCACCTATGGAAAACCTACCGGCCGCAGTACGAGATTGAGGCCGAGACCAAGACGGACCACGAGAAGCTAATGGACGTGCTGGAAGGGTTCAAGGAGCGCAAGGCGATGATCGGCAAAGCGGCGCTGGAGAACTGCGCCGAGGAACAGCTGGACTGGAACAACTGTATGAAGCACGGCAGCTGGGCGGATCGCGCAACCATGTGCCGGGATACGGTGAGGAAGTTTGAGAGGTGCTATAATATGCAATCGGTATGTTATGCGTTATTACTGCCCTGTTCCCTGGGCGCAAGCTGTTCGAAGCTGGCAGTTTGTCTCTTATTGTTTTTCGATTAGTTGCTGACCAGTTAATGATGTTGAAGAAACTACTAAAAGCCTTAGGCTACCTCCAAACCTACGGCCGCTCGCCTGAAGTGGACGAGGACATCCAAATGCACGCCGACGCTTTGTACCATCGGATGCTCGACCAAGAAGCGGAGATCGAGAAGTGCAAAGCTGAGGGCCGTCCAGTTCCTGCGTTCCCCTCGCTGTTCGAAAACAGCACCTACAAAGTCCCCGTCTACCCGACTCAAACATCGGCTGCCCCTCAGTCCACATCAGCAGTTGGTGCAGGTACAGAACCAGGGAAGGACCCCTACGAACCAAGCCAGGCCATCGTGGAATCCTGGCAGGAGCAATTGGCCAAACTTCCGGAGCCGGAGCGCGCTGCGGAAGAGGAGGCGCTCAGAGCTGAGCACAGGGCCAAGGCGATTATGGCCAAGAATCTCCAGGAGTTGTGGAACGAGCAATCCAAGGAGAGAGAGCAACGCAGAATGGAGGGTAAGGAGACGATTGGAGATAAAATCAAGCGGGTTCTTGGAACACCGAACTATTGAAAGGGGTGTTTGACAATCCCGTTGGGTTGAAGGGGGATGTATTATAAACAACAGATTCCGGACATAACAGTACGACTTAGCCACCTAAATGTGGACACATCAGATTCACAAAATAACCTTGTCAAATTTATGAAGAGTGTTGCTGCGGATACTTGGGCCAGCTAAGGCATCGGTCAGTGATATAGTCCAGCAGGAGGTACTTGGACACGGTAGAGATATTGATTGACATGGAGATATATCAAATACCAAGTTCGAATCGGTGCACAACTGGCATCCCGGGCAAGACGATTTTGTCCAGTGGTGTCGAGATGCTATTGAATTGATGTACCCAATTACCTGCCCTCTAAAACACTTGCCGCTCGCTCCAAAAAAGCATTGAAATCCTTGATCTGCTTTAATGTCCCACCGCTGTTACCCTTGTTACACACCTCACCCGATACCCTGCTGATGAGGAACTCCAAATTCGCCAGGTCTGCCATCTTCTGCTCAGCCGGCAACAGTTCGGGAGCTGCTTGACCTCTTTCCACCGCAAGGTCTATGTCATGCATGGCAGAGGAGAGCGATATGTGTCGCTAGTAGCAAAAAAGAAGAGAAGGTCAGCAAGCAAACCCCATTAGGGAAAGGAGAGAAAAAGTGGATCGGGGCAAGAACTGACCAACGCCTCCTTACTATCCACCTCATGCTTAATCCGAATAGCGTCCATCCTCAACGAAACTTGATCTCTCTCGGCGCGTATCCTCAATATCTCCTCTCTCAATCCCAGCTTCTCCTTCTGCACCACCCTTACCCGTTTGCGCAAGGCGTGGAGCGTATCGAGGGCGATAGTACGTTCCAGTAGTCTAGTCCTCAGCTCCTCCTGAAACGCCTCCATGGTGCGAAACTTGGTCTTTTGTTCCCTCTTTGTTGCTGCATCATCTGCAGCTCGGGCTCGTTCCTCCAACCTGGCTAGAAACCCTGCGATGAGACCCTCGCATAGTTCGGAGAGGACGTCTATGGCGTTGACGCCGGCTCTGTTCGCAAATGGAATCTCGGCGTCAAGAACACTGGCATTTAGTTCGTCGGCATCGTCGCTGGCTCTGGGCGGCTTTGTAAAGCGCTGGACGGTAATCGGAACGGCTTCTGCTTTCTCCCCCTTTCCTTGGTCCTCTGCATCATCCTTCTTGGATGTTTTTCTGCTCTTCTTCGCCTTCGGGGTCTTCTGAGTCGTACGTCTGCGGCCTGCGGCTGCCGTTTGTTGCTTTGGTTGCTTCTGCTGTTCCTGGGGAGGACTCGATACCGGAGTAGGCGCGCGCTCAAGCCTTTCTCCTCGTGCTTTGAATGGCTTCTGTTGGGCCGTATCCGCTGGCTCGATTTGTCTACGGCGTCGCTTAAGCAGAGGCTCCTCCTCAGGTGGTCTTGCCTCTGACTGTGAGGAGGGCGCGGGGACAGCTCGTCTAGGACGTTTCCGGCCGAGAAGCTGAGCAGCTTCCTTGCTGCTAATTTCCAAGGCCTTTTCGGTGTCGTCTTCCTGGCCCCCGTTCTTCCCCTTTCCTCTGCTAGGACGCTCGTTTTCGACGCCGTCATTGGTACGCTCAGCACTGCGCGTATCTCGTTGTCTGTCTCCTGCCTCTAACCCTGGATCTCTGTCCCTCTCAGTTCCGCCCTGCTGCGCTGCTTTCGACGGCGAGGGCTCTTCGCCCAAGTCTTGGCTCGCCACACTTTCAGGAGGACTACTGCCCGAGAGTCTTGAGCTCCTCCGCGTTTCGGCCGACACCCTCCTTACAGCGAACAAATCCCCACTCTTCCGTGATGCCGCGCGCTCGAGCGGAGAAGATTGCTCTGGCTCTTGTTCGGTCCCATCATCCAACTCCTTTAGAACCTGCTGGAGTAATGCGCTGGATCCAATCACTGCGTTTCCAGGTTCGTCAACCCGTAATGGTCGACGCCTTCCGCTTCCGGGAGCATCGACCGGACTCTCGTCTACCTCTTCCGTCAGAGCAGTCGGCGAGACATAGCGAGGCCGGCGATGGGCTTTGGTTGCACTGCTTATTGGTTGTGGTGGGAGTTGCTCGGGCAATTTCAAGTGCTGATGCGACTGTGACTGAGCTGGGCTAGGATGTTTATCGACTATCGGCGATGTCACATCTCCTGGTCCATGGTTCGCCCGCGTAGGAGAAGTGCGTCGTAAGCCAGAGGAGCGTTCCCGAGTTGATCGCTCGCTGATGACGGTATGTGAATCTTTGTTATTGTGGGCAGAAACGTCGTTCGTGTCGGGAGAGCCCGACTGCGCAGACGCAGCTGAAGGGCTCGTAGCTCGAGGGTGCGGCGGCTGGGGCTGTGTATGTATCGCGGCTATCGACGTTGCTGATGGGGGGCTCCTACGACTCCTTTTGACAGACGTATTGGGCGTTGGACGTGTCAACACCTGCCCAGCTACAGGCTGTGTCTCTACTGTAGGAGCTGGAGCAAGAGCCGTGTCTGGCGATTTGGTTGGCGAAGACGCTTCATCGTGACCTGTGGGTTCCTCGGACGAGGGTTCCTCTACGGGCAGAGGGATCTCGAAATTGAAAGAGATATCGGCAACCTGATGAGAACTGTTTGGATGTCATTAAAAATCGGGAAAAGTCTCATGACAGAGATGACGCAGAAAGACAAGATATCGTCAACAACTTACTGCGCCCCGCGCATGCGCTCTTGCATGCGCTCCTGCCGACCTTGGCTCAGGTCAGTCTATTACCAATTGAAAGCATTCTGGACTGAGAGGCTTACTGGTCGCCATGGCTTCGAGAAAGGAATCAATCCTTAGCTGGAGCGGATCACATTCTTAGGTAGGCGTGGCAGCTGTCTTTTATACCGCCGACAGACTGGAGTGGCACGGGTGTGATGTTAGTGAAGAGAGGATCTTGAATAGAGGTAGTCGCAGGAGTTCAATTGACGGCATTGGAACGCGCTGGATCAATTGACAGACGCGATAGTACTGGGGTTGCACGGCTTGGCGGCAGTGGATGCGTTGGCAGGCTGCTCGCTGCTTCCCGTCCTTGCCTGGTGATGTCCCTTGGAGGCATCCCCCCGCAACCGCCGAGCTTCCAGAGGGTGGGTTCCGCCTGCACTACTTATCCTTGCGGTGGAGTGGCTGTTGCCAAGCACCACTTGACCCTTGAAGGCCCCAGGTCCCTAGTTCAGCCTCACAGTCACAGCAAAACCACAACCGAAACATCAACAACATCACCAGCCGGCATCGAATGATAACGATCTCATCAACGATTACTTCTAATTTATACAATATAATTACTTCTTCACCTCTTCCTGTGGCAGACTAAGCATCTGTTTTGTACATGGGTCTCCTTGTATTTTGTTGCTGATCTAATCTCGTCCTCCTTCCGAGGCTACGAACCCGCTTAAGTTCACCTCATCATCATCTGTAGGGTATCAATTTTTGCTCTTCCGCCCGCACATCATTGTGTAGTCAACTTCGGCACCCATTCCATCTTTACCTCGTCAAATATGTGGCTGTAGGGCCATTAGCTTGCATAGTTCTCTTTGACCGGATGGTCATACATACTTGGCAAACTCCTTCAAGGTAAGTGACCAGTCACCATACTCTTTTGCGAGCAAATCTTTGTAGCGGTACGGGATCTTGGCTGCAACTCCCTCAAAGATGGTGTCCCGCAAGGGGAAGATGTATGTATCCTACCTATTGTTAGTCACCGTCGCTACTTTTCACTGATGTGGAGATAGTTACCCGAAACTCATGGCCATCTTTGCAGCTCATCATGCCCTCGCCTGCCGGGTGTGTCAGGTTGTACCGAGCAGTTGTAATATCGATAAATAATCCGGACTCGGTATCGATCCACCTGGCGTCGATGACATTCAACCAGTCCGACTGGTCTCCGTTGGAGAAGTTAGGGTTAACCTCCAACATGTAGTTCCGGCCGGCCGGTAACCTCGGTGTCTTATAATGAAAGACGGACATGTTGTAATAGGTTGCTAGGAAATACATGCTGGCCTCGGTGACTTGTACATCGGCATCCGAGTCCCACGGCATGATCTGGGTGCATGTCAGTTCAAGCAACCGTCACGGGCGAAAAGGGTCAGCTATACCTGCTTGTTCCACCACCATCCCAGCAGACTACCGTGCATGAGCCAGGTCTCAATGCCTAGGTCTCTCATTGTCTCAAGGAATGTCCGGACAAGATTCTTCAGTGCTGCCTTTTGTTCCTGGTAGCCGAGCGCTTTCTCGGCAAACCTGCGCCGCCGTGTCAGTATCGCGAATACAATGCGACTGCCAGATCAACAGGAGGTACGTCATACCGGCCATCATAGTGTGGGTCGAAGCTACGCGGTGATTGTACGTTAGCCGACGAGCTCTGCTGTTTATCTGTTAACAAGTGGTGTTTCTCTTACGTTGACTCGTCTGTTTGTTGGTCAGCGTTCTGTTCTCAGCATGATCCAACCGCGAGTTACGGCATAGGGTCTGATACCATGCAGTCCCAGAGACAAGCTCATTGAGAACTTTGGACACTTTGGCGGTGGTGCCTTCTTGCTGTTGTGGGTTCACCTACGGAAATATTTTTGAGGAGGATCTCCAGCCTTCCCGTTCATGTCCTTCTGGCCGGTCATGCCCATTACCGTTACGGCATCTTCGTGCTCTATAGGCGCACATGTGCTGAGGGGAAAAAGCGTCGTTACAATGAGGAGCCAATTTAAGAGCATTTTGGCCTGCCCTTGAGGATCAAGACAAGGGACAAAGGATATAACAGGAAAGATAAAAAAGGAAAACGAGGAGAAGGAATGGAGAAATGAGAGGTTGAAATCGGAAAGGTGATACAGAGATTATCTATGCTGTTATCACAAGGGCAAGGAATGTCAAGGAGTGTTACGGCTGTGATATCCGTGCCTCTGGTGGCATGGCTTGGGTACCTAAGGGATTGGGTTGGCGGGTAGGTACACCCACGGCTCATGAGTTTCGTATATCTGATTGCATTTGCTTGTCAAAAGGTTCGGTATCATCGGTGTTTCCCCGATGTACATGTCTACTCATGACATGGCCCCACACATTGGGGAGCCAAGACAGCGAGATTCAAATACTGGTGACGCGTCCCATGTTCGGGTATGTAAGAAGCAGCAACCGGGGCTCATCGGGTCAGGAGACAAGAGACCAGATTCGTCTGGCGGAGACCAGAAGACGAAAGAGGGGGGAGATAAAGCGCGGAGGAAGTATGGGCGATGCGTCTGAGGTGGGCTAGGTAGTCACCTGGGTTGTATCCGTCATGTCAAACGGGATGTGAAAGAGCCGCAAACTTGTAAGGATTCAAGTGAAAACAATACTTCTACCTTCCATTCAAGGCAAGCAAGATCGGGAGATGAGAACTGCCAGGCACAACAGCCCACAGACCGGGAAGCAGGGACGCACCGTCTTGAGCTGGGTATCCCAGCTCAGCTCTTTCCTAGGGTTCCAACCTCCTGAAACGTAACGAGAGAGCACACGACATCACGACGGCTAGTAGTTAAAGGTACCTACCTCTAGGCTCAACCGATACGTGCCATACTTTCCGAATGTATTTCACTCAAATTTACCCTGTGTCCGAAGGAAAAGGCATATGCATGATCAGGACTCCGGGACTTTAGAAGTCTGCCTGCTTGTGCTTTCCTGCTGGTGTCCAAGGTCCGATCAAAGGTCAGAATTATCAAGCTCTTTACCCCAGATCTGCCAGAAAAGGTTTGATATCGTCAATCAATGGAGGTTAGGAATGACGCCAGCTTGGTTGTATCCTCTGTCCGGCACAGTCAAGTCTCTGTCGTACGTGGCCCATGGCGGTAGGTACAATATGTAGGGTAGACGAGATCGAATCTTCATCACACTTACCGTCTATCGATTGCTCAGGACTGAACTAGTGCTCCTTCACCTTAGTGTTTGGTAGCTCTGCAAGCGAGCATCGGGGAACTTGGACGGCACTTCTCGATGACCACATGCGCACAGGTAAGATGCGCCAAAGTTGAAGAGAGGTCGCGCCAGCGATCAGCGACGTCTGGATCCGAACAAGAAATTGTTTTCTCAAAATATCGGTTCACAATCTGCAGAACCTTTCAGTAGATGACTTTGTCGCTGAGAAGAGACAAAGAGTGCTGATATCTACGCGCGGAGTTGAAAGATGACTTGGGAAAAGCGTCGGGCTTCAGCATGCGGGCTGGCCGCTGTGTGCTTGTGGAAGCTTGTTGTTCCCGAGGGCCGACGGCCCATGTAGCTTACGTGTACACCCACCCTCCGATGAATGGTAACGGCCCGCCTTCTGGGGAATGCGCGGCCCAGGCGGATCATCATTTCCATTCAAAAGGGGCAGGCAGTCACTTGCTATTCTTTCAGAGAGATGGAGCAAGGAGTGTTGTTCGCCTTATTCTATGTCGCTTTCTTCTCTTTCCATTCCACTTTTCTCGATTCATGTGGTCCTTGGGAATCGGCCTTGGGGTTGTCGTCACGTCAACGTATCGGGAGCGGGGAGAAACAAACTCAATCATCGTCGCGCGAAATACACTAGTGTATCATCTCATAACGCCCGAGAGACCATCTTGATACGTCCCTCTTCTATGGTCTCAGAAAAGACAACAAAGTCATCCTAAGATCGGGTGTCGAACTTCCTGAACTTAAAAGTCTGTGGCAAACAGGGCAAAAAAAAAAATAAAAAAAAAAATTAAAAAAAAAATGAGAGCAAGGAAGGTAATTGGGACCGCCAGATTTCCATCTTTGTACTTTCCATTCCATCGTGTAGTTGATTAAGCACCTTCTAGCTACTAAAGAGCGCCCACAAACGATACTAAAAAGAGTGGGCATTTAGAGCCCTGCTAATTGGGTACAAAATTCCCTCCTACCAATTTAGGCCCCTATAGGTAGAGGTATAAATCCTACCTAGCCAATGTCTTTGTACTTTGCAGTTTGAAGATTTTATATGGGAAAACAATTTCGGCCGCTCGTTCTGCACTTTTGGGAGGTTGCACTTTTAGGGTTGATCCTGTACACTATACCTCTATGCCTAGAGGTACCATTTTAGGGGTTTCCATTGCATAGACCGCATATCTCTAGGTAGTTCATCTGGGCTTGGATTTTAGGTGCTTTGGGACAGGAAAACTGGATAGCGAGACTTCGCAGTAGCAGACAGGAAGCCACCGCGAGCCTGTCAACGTGGAGTGAAGGAAGTAGAAGGGAGCAGAAACAATGATTGTAAGATGCCCTGGTCACTAGGGAAGATTCCCGTCGTGCTTCGATATCTCCAACAGTGCAGGGATGTCAAGAGCTGCCTTCCCCTCAACGACTCCGAAACCGAAACCAAACAAACGAGCGTCAACAAATCGAGAGCTAAGAGGTCTTACCGTTACGTACCTCTCTGCATTTGCTGTGCCTTTTAGCTCAGCTGTGCATACTCCTCCTACCTACCTATGCCTAATTCGAGTTCCAGCCTCCCGAGCTTCAATTTCCTACTCTTTCATGAACCCTTCTCTGGCCGCTCTTGACAAAACAACTTCCCGCAATCGTCGTCGCCGCACCTAGTCGACAACACAAGCAAACAGAGCAAACCCCGCAACACCCCCAGGCCCGAGCACCTCTACGGCTTGCTCCACTGAGTCCACCTCCACTCGGGTATAAGTGCAGTACGTGATACGTCACTTCTCCGGCGAACGTCCGGATTAACTTGAACACTTTTACGTTCGACCTTCTTCTTCCTTCAACCCCAGAGAAAACATCTATCTGCTAGAAGCTTGACACGAAACCACTCCAGCGCGAGTAGAGTGCCCGTCGCACAAGATGGGATTTTTAGATATACACGGAATCAGCGTAAGTATTAGAACAGAGCCAGACACGGCACCAGCATCACCACAGCGGCACGAAGCGCTCCATATCCCCGATTACCTCGAAGCCGCATAGATCACGGGAAGCTGACATGTACTGGTAGATTTTCAGGTGGGCGGCTGATCTATCTCATCTTATTTCAAAATGCATCCTCCTATACTCCATCCATCGCAATAGGAGCGCTGAAGGTTATACCCCTCTCTTTTTATTGACGCAACTACATCCCTCCAACTAACACTGGCCTGTAGGCGTGTCTCTCATCACACAAGTGTTCTATACGCTTGTCTTTATCACGCGCTACACAGACCTTTTCGGCGAAAATTGGTGGGGGGGATTTTTAGACTGGTGGAATTTCCTCTTCAAGATCTTCTACCTCTCTTCGTCATTCTACACCATTGCAGCCATGCAGTTCTTCTTTCCACGGACCCGCGAGCGAGAGAAGGCCTGGAAGTTCGGCGCCATCATACTGGGGGGGAGCTTGCTCCTGTCACCTTTCGTGATGATGATCGGTAAGCCCAAGGAGGATTGGGGTTTTCGAGAGGTAAGTACACCATGCCGCTACGTCTCGCCCTTCCTCCCTTCCATCCTACTGGTTACTTACTAGTCTCTTTCCCCTTCTCAGTGGCTCTGGGTATTCTCCCAAATCCTCGAATCCGTCTGCGTACTTCCTCAACTCCTCCTCCTCCGCCAGACCACCGTTCCGACCGTCATCACTTCGTTATACATCGTGTTCCTGGGCTCCTACCGCGCCCTCTACATTCTGAACTGGATCGTCCGCGCGCTCGACATCAATGGCCGGAAGCCTGATGGTATCTCCATTGTCTTTGGCCTCATCCAGACAGCCCTATACGCCGACTTTGCCTGGGTCTACTGGACACGCCAGCGTGTCAAGCTGCGGAACGGCGGCGTTGTCGACTCCGATGACCTGCAGCGCGGGTGGCTTCTCACTCATATCTTCGGCAACAAGCGTATCACTGGGGAGCACAGCGCGGATGACGACGAGGAGAGCGCCCCTGCTCTAGGAGGACGACGCGGGGTCAACGGTATTGGCATTAGCAACGGAAACAGCCGTGGTTCGGCGCCGAGATCCAAGTGGGGTGCTCGTGGTATCTCAGTTAGCGCCGATGACGGTGTGCTTGATCATGAGCAGTCGCTGGAGGATCATGGAGTAACGGAGGCCCTGGATCCGGACGCTAAGATGCACGATCCGGATGACTTGGCGAGAGCCCTGGATGACGATGACGATGGGTCGCCGTCGCGGGCAGGAGGTTCGGCGCCTTTACTCGGTAACTCGAGCGACAACAAGAACAACAATGACGACAGGAGGGATCATGATAATGCTTGGGCTGATGACTGATTATAGGGTGCTAGGAGGCATGGAATACGGAATGACTGACGTTTGGTTTGACTCTTACGAATGGTCAATGGGTTGATGGATCGCTTTTTTCTTGGGTATGGACTAGGCATTATCAGTATTTGGTCATATGGACGCCCAAATCTTTTTTTTGTCTGATGCCAAGGTTATTATCAGGAAGTGACGGCCAGGAAGATGCCGGTGGTTTCAACATCACAAAGGAACCAGTTTCGCAATATCACCAGGTGAACAAGTTGGGGGGCATATCCACAAAGACAGAGGACTGATATGGCTGTGTTTTACATCAACTTTGCAATGTACAGGTCAATCTTGTTAGGACGGTCGGAAGCATTCTTGATGTGTTACTGAAGTCTATATAAGGTTTGAAAAATAAGGCCTTGATAGAATAAATTTATTCAAGTTAGGTCCTATGTGCAATACTTCTCTCTAGAAGACCACCACTCTACTCATCCTGTACAGAAAGCTCCCACAACGCTCTCAATACCGCCAACCCCCCGCTTTGTGTTTCCACCGTCCTGCCCCTACCGCGAGTATTCGGATCACCATCATCCTCCACTTTCCGGCTACACTCCTCAGCCACGTTAAGACCCGTCTTTTCCGACCCTTCGCTCAACTGGCAGCTTCCAGTCAACGGACGCTGCACATTGCTGTCCCGATCTTTATAAATCACCGTTGGGCCTCCTGGCCCTCCGCCTCCGCCTCCAGGCAGCAATTTTCCTGCCGGAACCCACTCGGAAGTCTGCGGGACCCCTTGATTCCGATAATCAATGACTCGCTCCATAGGAGCCAACGAATTTCGCCCAAAACGGAGCTCAGATGTCTTGACGTTCAGCAAACCAGCTGTCCACCACATACCAAACTTGCCTTGGCTGTCCCTGGTGCGCGCTGCCGCATGCGCGTTGTGCTTCAGCCAGCCGGAATACCGTAGGCAAGCTGCTGAGTGCGCTTTTGCTATGCTTTTCCAGAGGTCAGGACCGGGAGGTGGTGCTGTACTTGTCTTTGTTGTGTGGCGTAGTTGTGGTTGTTGGGTGATGGGTGAACAAAACGCAGTAAAATGGTGCATCCAAATCCCCTTGAAAGTCTGCGCATCCTGCGAGCACTCGCCCTTCGCATCGCAGACCTCTTCAAGGATACCCGCCCGGCCCAAGCCGCGCCAGGGCGGGAGCTCGCCTGGCTTAAGGTTGTCGAGGTCATCAACTGGAGAGTCCCGCGCCAGGTCCCAGCCGGTCGCTCGGATGACGTTTTGGATGAGCGTGTGGCCTGCCTTCAGGTAGGATGGATCGGGATCAACGCTGAAGAGGTTCCGCTGCCCGGTGAGAAGGACGCCTTGGTTGTAGGTGTACAACATCTCGTCGCGCTCGTCGCACTTGGTATTGTTGCTGCCGGAGGAGTAGCCGGAGATGTGGAAGCCGTCGGCGTAGAGGCCGAGTTCGTTAGTCATGTTGGAGGAAAGCAACCAGCTGTAGGCGTCCAGCGCGGCGGCGAGGTACTTGGGATCATGTGGGTACCATTTCTTGTCTCTTGAGTGACTGGGAGACCTGGGCTGCTGGCTATGCTCAGAAGAGATGAAAGGTGAGTTGTTCTCGTCCCCAGGGAAATGGAGGTACATCATCACCGATGCGGCGATGAATAACTCATTGGTGATGGCGTTTTTATACGGCAGCAATCGAGGGTTCCAGTTCATCCCTCCGCCACAGAGTGTCGTATCCCAGCCAGCGGCTGCCAGCTCCCAAAATATCCTCGCTCGGTGAGCAAACGCCGGAGTCCACAAAGTCCCGTGCCAAGTACGATTCCGTAACGTTTCTGTTGGAAACTTAACACCATTGCCGTCACCAAGGTCTGACGGCGGCCGGCTGGATGTACTGCTATATCCATCAACAAACTTGGTGGTATCGAGCCAGCCCAATACAACCCAGAGCATGTCATCAAAAGCTTCCTGGCGGAGTGCAAAGATGTTCTGGCCGAAGTAAAAGCCGATCAACTGGGAGAAGTAAAGAGAGATCGTGTTCTCCGTTGCTGACCACCCCTCTGAGATTTCGATCCCCCTTGACGCCGCTATCTCGAGGCTTCGATGTAGAGTTTCAAGTGTACCGGCAATGTGTGTCCCTAAGACAGCAGCGGTCCAGTCGATAGCAGAGGGCCATGTGCCAACCCATGGCTGGAAATAGACTTCTTGCATGACATCGATAGCGTTCATCATCTCATCGAATAACGTCACGTTGAAGACGTAGTCTCGTCCTTTGACGATAACCGGATCATCTTTCCCCAGGTGACGAGGTAGGAATGAGAAGGACTGTTCGGCAGCGGAGGCAGCCGTGACTAGAAAAGCCACTTTGGCCCATTGGATTAACATGTTGTCGACCAAGCAGTAAAATGATGAGGTTCAAATAGTGTCCAGATCGGTGGGCACCAGGTGGCCGTAAACAGATATAGTCGTTCCCAGGGTCAAGAGACTGCGAGGATCCAACTCCAGAAATCCCTCGGGACAGCAGTTCAGTTTATACACTTTCGGGTTCGTCAAATGCGAAAGAAGCAAACAAGCGAATCGAGCGCCTACAACAGTCAGTTGTACACTAGTTGCCCATTCCGCCAAGATTGTTGGTATTCCCTCATCGTGAACTAGGTAGAGCTCATGATCCACGAAGATCCGCGATGATCCACGAAGATCCACGAGACAGATGTGGATGATATGTGTCTCGGAATCACCCAATGCAACGAGAAGTGGGAGGGTGGTAACGATTGAGGATGAGCTTGGTCAGGACTTGGGAAGTGAAACTCACGGCACGGGGCAAGAAAATGGCAAAGACCTAAAGGCCCTCGGCGAAGACTTCAAGTAAAAGTTGGAAGTAGCTATCGGACTGGATCCAACTCCAACGACGACGAGGGGGGAGAGTGTGGATGCGATCGAACCAGCCAACCCTCGAGTGGGTGGGCAAGAGTAGAGCACAACCTGAACAACCAACAGTCATGGGGATTCATCCCTCAGTTCAGGCTGTGTGTATGCCAAGGTCAGCTTGCCTGGTCGACACACCAACAAGACGCTGCCAGGTGTGGCTGTCGTCGAATCAGTAGCCATCTTGTTCCAGTTCCCTTGAAGCTGAGCGAGGTGAGCCAGGATGTAGGTACCCTTGCACCAATGGGTGGGCGGCTGTCCCTGGCAGCTGGCAGTGTTCCTGAAACCGGCAACGGGTGCCTGTCCGGCAACGGGCGGGTTCTTTCTCTCGCGGAGGGCGGAGCACCTCGCCGAGGGGCAAGGGAGCTGCCTGCCGGGGCGATTTTGCCCACTTGCACCCCCGTGCTCCCCACGATGCCCTGTCTGTGCCCAGTTCGAGGCCCCTTCGACTTATTCCAATCCGAACCCCAGCATGTGTCTCGAACCTCAGACACATGTCTGTTCATTCCGCTATGTATTCGGTATTGGCAGCAATAGATTAAGCACGGATAAAGTGCTCCATGTTCCAAGTAACTTGTAGCGGACGACCTTGAGTCTGAAGCTCGGTACATTTGCTTATAGGCTGAATATATGAGGTACTGAGGCAGAAGATGGCTACAGTTGCAGTTCTAATACCCACAAGAGCGTAGCTAGAAGACATACATCCCGATGACTAGGTACCTCTGTCTATCAATCTCGTCGAGAAAGGACGGTACATTTGGACGTTTCGAAGCGTACGGAAAAGCGCTCAACTCGGATAAGCAAGCAATAAGCTGCGTGTTTACCGATATCGGAAGCTTCATTGTTGATTCCTATACGACGGTACAACACAATTCACATTATCCTTACGGGATATTGAAGCCAAGAGGCAAGTAGAAACTGACGCTGTCGTAATTGAGGTTCAAGGAGCTGTCATTGGAGATTTTATTCAAGGGAGATGAAGTCCCGATTTTCATGACGCTTTTTTGAGCAGCAATTATTTTTCGTGAATAACATGAAGAGACCATCCACATGTTCGCAACACTTAACCGCCTGCCTGTCGCTTCTTCGCTGATATGGTATACAAAACAAATGTTCCACCCGTTCTCCCAAAAACGCCTGCTTGAAAGCCAAAAGACTCTCGATAAATCACCCAAACCCGTCGCCAAAACGCCATCTAACAAGCCCCAAGTAACCCCCTTGTCATCAAGTCAGCCGATTATCGTTTCCCGATACAATGTCGGGGTTCCAAACGTCATGGTCAAAGCCCGTTCTACTCAACGAAGTGGCGCTCAAATTCGCTGATGAGCTTTGGTGTGATCTCGTCGCTACTCATGCCCTCGACCTCCCAAAGGACGCCCTGGCGCGCATAATGTTCCAGGAGAGGCTCGGCTGTTTCCTGGAACTTCTTGTACCTTGCAAGATAAACCTTCTCGTCGTCATCCGCCCTGCGAACCAAGGGCTCGCCGGTAACGTCATCGACACCAGGGACCTTGGGTGCATTGAATGTGGTGTTGTAAACCCGGCCTGACGGTTCGTGGACCCAGCGTCCGGAAATGCGCTCAAGGATAACGTCGACGGGCGTCTTAAGGGAAACGACCAGGTTGATGGGAACGATCTCATCCAGACGCTTAGCCTGGGTTGCCGTGCGCGGGAAACCGTCCAGCAGAAAAGAATGGGCGGGGTCATTGGAAAGCTGAGACTGGATGAAACCACGGGCTTGCGCTGGCGAGGAGAGGAAGGCTGCAACTTCAGCATCGTCTTGGAAAGGATGTGCCCCCTCGGCGCTGAGGGCCGAGGAAGCAAGCGTCAGGACGTTGCCGGCAGGGTGAGTCGAATTAAGCCATCCGCGCTGGGTGAGCTCGTTGCTAATGAGGCGGAGGATAATGTCATCTGATACCAAACCGCCGGACTTCATGACACTCTCCACTTTGATACCTGCGCGTGATAATCAGCATTGGATTCAGGACATAAATGAGGGTGTAGGGCGTACGATAGATGATCGCGGAACCCAAGACTCACCGAGAGGAGTCCGTTGCTGGACATTGTATCGAAGCAGATCTCCCGAACTGATGGAAGACAGTTGAGGAAACCGCCGGAGAAGGCGTTCCGACTGTGTTCCCTTTCCGACACCAGGCGCGCCAACAAGGATGACGCGGGCAGCTCGCCGTAGGGCCATTTTCCGGTAGGTTGCGGCTCGTGAAGGTGAATTGAGCGAGCGATGGAAAACAATGCGTGCAGAAGAGAAGACGGGAGGAGCTGGCAACGAGAACACGAAAAACCCCCGGGCAGCAGATAAAAAGAAGTTCCGCGGTGGTACTTGTGGCCCCAATGTCAGGTTGATGCGAGCGCGGATGCGGGGAACGGGCGATGATCGGTGGCATGCAATTGCGTACGCAGGCGCTCACAAATCAAGCTGACTCCATAATCCAGTCACTGGAGTTGGAGCAGGGCCTGGATGGAGCAATATGGATTGAAATCTGCAAGTGTGAACCCGGGGCCCTGCACTAACAATGAGCCCAAAAGAGGGAAAGCGTGAAAGCGAAACCGTGGGGATTTGGGATCGGTAGCGGGTCGGACCTCAACTCTTACCAAACGCCATGGAAAGCTTCTCACGTACTAGTGTATAACCAGAAAACCTGATAAACGTATTGACCAGCCGAAGCAAAACGTTATATGTATGGCTTCGGACATCCAAAGAATCCTCGACAATGATACCACAAGCCGTCATTGTAGTTAGAAAAACAAAATAAAAAAATAATAACCAAAGTCCTCGTGGAAGAATCAGCTGCCCCTGTCATGCCAAGTTCTTTTGACTAGTATTTCGCCCCTCAACAAAAATCATGGGCGTTGAGATTCACCCAGCGACACCCATAGGCTATCTATTGTGTGAATGTACCAAGCAATCATTAGAACGGAAACGAATGAAACAAGAAGAAAAAAAATAGTGCGCAACTCTGTTTCACGCTGTCCTGATTACGTTGTAGGTATTTACAGCCAGCGTGTTTGTAATCTCCCTGAGACGAACATCCTCAATTTCAGTTGATCTCATTGCCGGTCAGTACAACCCCAAAACCAAGAGCGATCGGCCGAGGTAACGGGTCAGCCTGAGAAAACCGAGAGCTGTCAGAAGCATGTGAATTGTGATTGAACCGATAGTATGGAAACTCGTTTGTGCACCATCTCTTCTCTCATTCACAGACCCAGAACTAGGGCAGAATTCTTCATCTTCTCGGCTTTCCAGGATACTGCAAGAAAACTTCGACTGTACATAGGTGTGAGCTAGCCAATGCTGGCCTTTAAGCAACACCAGCTGTAAGAAAGTGAAGTGGGTGTTGCTCTCACTAACGTCAAGCATGAATCACTTATATGTAGTATGTACTTGGCACATCACAGATAATTCCGCTCCAGAGAGAAAATGGACAAAAAATTGGGTTGACTGACCATTGACAAAGCTGGAAGCTTCAGAGCTTCCAGAAGTTTGCCAGTCCCAGCGGTAGTCCAACGTCCACATCGTTTCCGTCACCTTGGCACCACCATATCGATAGTAACAACAGTGTACAGCAGTGTAAAGAAAGCCCCGCGCTCTCGACTCCTCAATTCTACCGTTGTCTTCTCCATGTCTACACTACCAAGTCATGCACGGCACGCGACAAAGCAAGTGCCGTTATCACCAATGAGCATATCACGTTGAGAACGTGGAGCATAATCGTTGATGGAGCTGTTTCGCTGGTGAGAGCGTGGCAAGTTTGAGAGCCAGTCCATTCTCCAGTTCGTCAGTGGTTCGCTGCTGGCTGCAAAAGCACGAAATGCGTTGGCCCCTTTTGGGCTGCTTCACAAGGGGTCCGATTGTGGGGAGAAACGCCCGTGCGAGTTTAGTGCATTACTCGAAATCACGTGATTACGGACAGAATGCGGAACTTGTAACCAGACTGTGATGTTTTAGCTAGATGACTGTGTGGGGCTGAGATATAAGTCCTTTAATAGCTGAGTACTTACCTGCAGTAATCATCCTACTTGCTGGAACTAGCGGCTGGGAGCCAGCACAAAAAGGGATAACATAATGAGTTACTGAGAGCCCGCTTTGAGGGTGTAAGCTCAATTGAAGGCTCTGATACCCCCTGCATTATGGCACTCATCCGATTTTGCAACTGAAGAGTTCCCTAGGATCATGTTACATGTACTGCTCGTTGGCCAAATAGTGTCCCCTTGTCATACTGAGATTCGGGGTCCGATGCCAGGAAGCTCGAGGTTCCTGAGCTGGGGAAATACCATGCACAGTGAGAATGCTGAAGACGCCACACCGTCACTCAGGAGAAGAGCACAGTTCGTTTACCCAGCTCGGCCACACCGCGCGCGTGCCGCCTTCGTGTTGGCTTGACCGCCCACCGGTGGGTTGCGGGTGAGCGGCCGAGACAGCCATGGACAGCGCAATGCAGGCGCGAAAAAGGCTGGAATTTGATGTCACCGAATCCATCAATATCGATCGCTCCAGGTCTTTCTCTTTGCTGACAGACAAACCCGGTCCCGCCCCTTTTGCATTCTGCTCGATCTCTCCATCCCCTTTACAACATCTCAATTAGTTCGACTCTTGTCTATTCTACACCACCAGACGACCATCGACACTCCTTTTCTCGACGTGATTCCGCCTTTTATCCGAACTCTTCCAGCACCTGTACATCCCGCCTTTCGCAACTGTCAAGGGGGCGAATTATTTACTCCGCCGTTATCGCATTCGCATATCGCTTCGCCCAGCAAACCCGTCTACCATACTCTTTCACTCCAGCAGCATCTCTCATTTGGCATTGTGAACAACAATCGTTCGAAAACCCGCAGCACGCCGCTTCTCAGAAATGAGCGCCTCATCTACAGTCGCCCGTAGGGCCTTGGTCGTGAACCCATTTCTGGGTGCCGGTAAGACTTTGCCCGACTACGCGCTTTTTGCGCCGTTGTCATTGGACGCCTGCTAATCTGAACCGCATTCACCAGGCGTTGCTCTACCGAGGCAAGGTCTTCTAGCCGCATCGACGCTTCTTGCGCGCAATTCGCGGCACATCATGCTTAACAACCAGACTTCTGCCCTTGTTTTTCCCGTCCGCCCAATTACCACATCTGGAACCAGCACTCATGGATCGGGGCCGCCGGCCGGACCCCCGCCTGGCTTCAACGCGGAGGAAGCTAAGAAACCTCTTCCCAGAGAAGCCGCGACGCTTCCTGTTAAGAGCAAGACCATCGCAGGCGAGGTGCAGGAGGTGACTAAGAAAACGACTGAGGCCTTGGCCGGGACTGAAGCGTCTCAAAGCCAACTTGCGGAACAGAAGCAGGCTGGCGCCGAAAAGAGCGAAGGAAAGAAGGAGGAGCCCAAGTTGACCCTGAAACAAAAGATCAAGAAGGAGGCACAACACTACTGGGATGGAACCAAGCTGCTGGCTGCCGAGGTTAGGATCAGTTCGCGGCTTGCGATCAAGATGGCGGCAGGTTACGAACTGACTAGGCGAGAGAACCGCCAACTCCGGAGAACTGTTCAGGACTTGGGTCGCCTGGTTCCCTTTTCCATGTTCGTCATTGTGCCATTCGCCGAATTACTTCTCCCTGTTGCGCTTAAGCTGTTCCCCAACATGCTTCCCAGCACCTACGAGGAACAGAAGTCCAAGGACAAGAAGGCGTCTACGCTTCGGGCCACCCGGAAGGAGGTTAGCGACTTCCTGCGCAAGACTATGAAGGAAACCGGTCTCCCGTTGACGCAGGTTACGGCGCAAAAGGAGGAGTTCAGTAACTTCTTCCGCAAGGTCCGGTCTACCGGCGAGAAGCCCACTGCTCAGGACGTGATCAAGGTCTGCAAGATCTTCAAGGATGACTTGACCCTCGACAACCTGTCCAGGCCGCAGCTCGTGTCCATGTGCCGCTACCTGAACCTTAACACCTTCGGCACCGA